TCGGGCCCCCCCAGCCCCCGGCAGCGCCTGAGCCGCAAAGCAGCATCGTCAGCGAACCTGCTGCAGGGCAGCCCCGAGAGGTGGGACCCCAAAACATCCCCCAAATACCCCTGAAATATCCCCAAAACATCCCCCAAAATATCCCCTAAATATCCCCTAAATATCCCCTAAATATCCCCAAAATATCCCCAAAACATCCCCAAAACATCCCCCAAATACCCCTGAAATATCCCCAAAACATCCCCCAGAATATCCCCCTAAATATCCCCTAAATATCCCCAAAACATCCCCCAAAATATCCCCAAAACATCCCCCAAATACCTCTCAGATATCCCCAAAACACCCCCCAAATAGCCCTGAAATATGCCCCAAATACCCCCAAAATATCCCTGAAATATCCCCAGAATATTCCCAAAATACTGCCAAATTATCTCCCAAATATCCCCAAATTATCCCTGAAATATCCCTGAAATAGCCCCAAAATATCCCAAATATCCCTCAGATACCCCAAATTATCTGTGAAATATCTTCTGAACATCCCCCAAATACCCCCAAAATATCCCTGAAATATCCCCCAAAATATTCCTCAAATATCCCAAAAATATCCCCAGAATACCCCTAAAACACCCCCCAAAATTCCCCCAAATTCCCAGACTCTTCCTTTGCCTCCACCCCCTTTGAACCCCAAAATCCCCCCAGAACCCCCAAATTTCCCCAAAATCCCCCAAATCCCCCCAGAACCCCCAAATTTCCCCAAAATCCCCCAACCCCCCAATCTCTGCCTCCTCCCCTGCAGCCGCCCGAAGGAGCCGACCCTGAGCCCAGGTGGGGAAATTTTGGGGGTTTGGGGGGGAAATTTGGGGTTCAGGGAGTTCATTTTGGGGGTTCGGGGCCTTCCTTTGGAGGGGACGTTTTGGGGTTTCATTGAGGGGTTTTGGGGGTTCAGTGGGTTCATTTTGGGTTTTTTTTTGTGGGGGGTCAGTGAATTATTTTGGGGGGTGCGGAGGGTTTATTTTGGGTGGTTTATTTTGAGGATTTATTTGGGGTTCATTCCCCCCCCCCAACCCATTTTCCCTCTGTTTTTCCTCCTTTTCTCCCCACCCCCCCCCCATTTCCCCCTCAATTTCCCCCCAATTTTCCCCATTTCTCCCC